GAAAAGTCCAGCCAGCAAGGAATAATCAATGGATCATTATTTATACCTAAAACTAATACAGGGTTTCTGAGGGTCATTAAAAATCATTAAAAGTAATTAAATTATATATTTTTTAAATTAAGGCCTTCATTAGCATTAACATTCATTAAATGTGATTATCATGACATTTAAAATGCTTTATATATATATAAAAAAAAACCTTCTATAAATGATGCTGTAGTACATCAGGTAAAAGTGAAGAACAATTAGTTATTTCACCTTTCTGATTGCCATCTTGAAGAGGGAGGATTTGCCATCAAACTTCTGGCCTGAGAAAAAAAACACGTCATTATCCGTTACTCTCTGCTTCACATAGTGCTCTGGTTGACACCATCATGGATATTAGCGCGTTGTGGTAAACACCAGATACAGCACTGGGACTTACTCAACAGCCGATACCGCACCGTGACGTCACAAACTGGTAGGTGGCAGTAGTGTTCTTTGACAAACATGGAGGAATCCAGTAAAGCACATTCAAATGAAATTACTCTTAATTAAACACATCATTTATTGGACAGTATGTAATAATTTCTTACTTAAAGTAATTTCAGAAGTTTGTATTCTGAATGTGACCGGACTTTTCCTTTAAAGAGTTCAAATGAAACGGTGGCAAAGGACCCCTTAAGCTCCCACAGAAATATTTCTAAAGGCTAATTTAGGTTCTTTCACGTTTGTCATATTCCTTTAGCAATAATCCTCACCTGTCTTCTAAACACCGAGCAGATGTTACTTTCTGTAACAACTTAAGAAGTACAGTAGGCTTCAGTCACAGCCAGTCATCTTCTGCACTCTTCAGTCTGTTCTATGAACATCCATCACTGCTCAGCCACAAAACACAGACAGGTCCGAACTGGACTTAATCTGGTCTGGAGAGAGAATCATCAGGATTAATCTTTCCTCTATCCAGGACCTGCACAGCTTTAGGTTCATTAAAAAGGCAGCTAACATCTCTGCAGACCCCACATGTCCTGGACACAAAGCATTTAGGTAAGGAGTGCCAATGGCAAAAAGAGACAGATTCCTTCAGGAAGGGTGTCCCTCTGATGAACATCTTGCAGACTGAGTATTAACCCCGAAAGATTTTAAATATATATGCATAAAGGATTAACATATCTAATGTGTTTAATGGTATGTCTTCAAAATATTGATAAATTGTCTGTACATAGCTTTTAAAACTGATCAAGTCCTTAGAAAACATAGAGAACAGGATTTTCTTTTACCAATTTTTCTGTTCTAAATATAGTCATCTCTTATGTATTGTGTGGGTTGTCTGAAAATGGTTCCTTATTGGGTCTTTGAACAGCCTAATCTGTCAAAGCATATGGACAAATCGGCACAGAAGTGGTTTAACAGAGGAAATAAACCTTTTTCCTCGGCCATTCCAGTTCCCCTGACCTAAATCCTGCTGAAATCCTCTAGGGTGAGTCAAAGACGAGGACAGTAAAAGAAAAACACCCAAGACTCCATTTGAACTGGGTAGATTGCATCAAAGATTCCTCTTTGCATGCATTAACCGTGCAAGGAGAGAACTGAGTGCAGATGTTGCATCAAGGGGACACGGTTCTTTTTTTTCTCTGTCAAATCTCCCTAGTTTGCAAAAACTACAGTCTGTGTCGATTCCACAGACTGGCTCTGCACATCTTACTTAAGACTAAAGAAATTCATTTTGCTCTGGTGAAAATGCTTGTTCATCTTGTCTTCATGACTCTCCCATTAATAATTTAAGTCAACAGCAGGTCTGAGAAAAATAAAAGACGGGATACCACTGAAAGCACCTGAAGTAGACATTCCTTCTGTTTTAAGATCACAATTAAAGATAAGATGTGTTTTTTTTAAAAGCATCCTCTCTGAATAAAAAACTTTTCCATGTTTGGGTCATACTTAAGGACATTTTGGAAGACTTTCCACTGCTAAGCATCGCTTTCTGTTCCCTACCAGGAGAGCTCCAGACCTGTGCCTGTGCTGTCATCTTCCGAATATGGCCGCCGGATCAATCCGTACCTAAACCAAAATCCACCACAGTTTGCACGCGTGGCTTCCATGAAACATGACTTTCACACGAAGAATGGGATCATCTGGAGTGTGGAAGAAGGACACGGGTCAGTGGCTCCAATCTGAAAGCCCTGTGTTTCCCAGCATGACGTAATAAATCTGTTCGTCACAGAGCTGTTTGTATGATGGGACAGAATTACCACATATACCGTACATTTTTTATTTTTTTTTTAACATAGGGGGAAAATCATCAACCAGTTAAGGTCCGGAGAAATTTTTTATTAAAATATGTTTCTTTAAACAGCATTTAACAATGAAATAAAATGAGGTGTTTATGCATCCATGTTATACATTGAATTTTTAAATAAAAAATATAAGAAATTTAAAGTTTCTCCATTTTAAAATCTAAATAGTTTTTGAAGTATAGAGCAACAACCTTTTAGTTTAGTATATAGACAATTTTCTGATTCACTTTTTTTTT